AACAGCCTTGGATGAAAATTCTTCACGGTCCAAATCTCGAATTGTTTATCTACTGGACACTTGAAGTGGTCAGAGATAGGCAAACAAGCTCGAAAAATTATCAGAAATAACAGCTTGCAATAAAAGATAGGGGGAAATAGCTAATGATTTCTCTACGGAAAAAAATTGAACTCCATCTGGAAGCTTATTTACTCTTACTCGAACTTTCACTTCCTCCAATAACCCCTAACATGTTAACGCCTGGATAAACTGGTTATTTCCAGCAGTCCTGCAAAATCATACAAATAGGTAGCACCTTTGGGTCTGTTTTTACAATTCATCGTGTATCTGTTCGTGTATTTAATTCTTTCATTGGGCGCTAAAAGGATTGGTTCTCTTGGCAGGTTAATGGGTCAAAACTCACTTTTCTATCGGCAAAGTAAAAAAAACCATCAAAATCTACGTTTTTAAACTGGCAACTGCACTAAAGTCCTCGCCGCCCAGGAACACCGCCATGTCTTCGAGGGAATGCATGGCGCAAACATAGACTTAAGAGCCGTTGTACACAGCGATTGGCTTTTCCGTCATGTCTACATGGATGGAAGAGTCAGATATCGTTGCCACTAGTAGTTACTCCTCTAGAATCATGTCATGTGTGTTGATTTAAGTGGAAAATGGGGATTGGGGAAAGAGGGGAGAGGTATTGATATTATTCAACCTTTCCCCTTTAGCGTTGTGGACAAAGTAAAACAAGGATGTATAAATTGTCCCCCTGCGTTCCTTTTAGGGGGTACTCGCAGGGGTAACTCATTTCACGTTGGTGAGAAACCTCGGCTCCAGGAAAGCGAATCACGTTTTGGAGTTGATGTTCTTGTTAATTAAAAATTGAAAACTGTTTCTGGACTGTGTAAACTCCACCCTGCAGCATAGACTTCCAGAGTCACAAAGACATGACAGTCCTTGCAATTCTTTCAACCTATATTTTGGGATACGTGACATTTTATTGGACCAAACGATAGGAAAGTGGGGAGGAGGGGGAAATCAGCAACTGTTTTGAAAGTGACATTATTCGGGTCTAAATTCTTCGTTTAGTGCAGTGCAGACCATGATAGAAGTTGGTTAGAAAGGTGAATGAGTGAGAAGAAAAGGCTCGTTTAACTTGTGTGCTTTGCCCCCTTACTACTTCCGGACAAAATGTAGAAGGGAAGAATGCGTCTTCATTTTTCATCTGTTTGGGTCGCTCGCAGTGTTGATTACTTTTCTATTACTTTTCAGGTTTAGATCCGGAACAGCTAATACGTGTCCTCAGAAAACTACATCAACAAAAATTGGATGACACCTATCTATTGTTATGGATTTTTAATCTCTCAGGGCATCTGCTGCGGCTTGCTGTTGTGGTGACATACCTCCCTTAGCCCAGCACAAAGCACTGTTTGAACTTCATTTGTTAAAGCTGCATGAAACGTTATTTCAAACTGGCAAGAAGTTGCTGTAAGTCAAATGAAGAGAGCTGGCTGCATAACCCTCCAGTTCTCCGTTGACCTCAACAGGCAGCTTAGCTTTGAAAGGAGAGGCAAATAGATACATAAAATAAAATAAATAGGCCATTGAAAATATCAAAATTCACAATAATATAAAAAAATTATGCTGGCAGGAATGAAATTCCCCATCGCTTTAGTGCAAAAACTTCTTAATTGACTAGTTACCGAATTAATGAGTGAAGTGACAGAATTTCTGTTCCGCAAGATGGAAAAGGAATCTTTTGTATTTCGGATTTTTTTTAAAGTTGCCCAATAAGAACAAATGTTACCTGAAAGCATCGGGTCGTTTTGAGGCTTGTAATAGCAATTGGAGTGATTACTGCTCAGTAAATACAAAGTTTCTTCCTCCTTTTTGATATGACACTATATGAGCACTTTAACCGTGTCTAACATCAATATTTCAATGTTTTCGTTGTAACACATTTTCCTATGAAAACAAACACATATATTGCGATTTTTTTACGTCTAACCTGAAATGTAGATCAAGATTATCCGTTAACGTGACTGAGGTTAAATTCTATAGGCATATATCACACAGGGTTACACCAACTAGCCCTACATATCAGAGGATATGTTTACAAACACACACTTCCCTATAGAAACTACTGCATCAAATTAGCATAAACCCCCCACAATACAGAAAACTATACCTAGAATCACAAATAGATGGGGCTGATTATTTGATAGGGAATTGGTACTGGGTCACCCTGAAGAATAAGTTTAATGCGTACTAAACGTGCATTTTCCCCTAAGAGTCACTCTTAAAAATATGGATCTGATACTGATGCTGCAGCAGTGAAGCAGGAAAGATACAGTAGTGTCCTCTCTCATAATGAACTCGGAGGTACATTCATTTCAGCGGATTGTCATGCCTGTCACAGAGAAATCAAAGGGAGAGAATGTCTGCTAGAGTGGTATTTTCAGGTATTTACACTTGCTTTCTTTCTGTTAAAGCCACAGAATAAGGGTCCTGCATAGAATGCAGCAAATATCTTGTGTATGCATCAGTCGTTCGAGACAGTGTTTGAATACTAGACACTGACACTGAATGTTTGTTTACATGATCCTGGGACTGGCTGTAACGCTGCCTTTAATCAAATAGGTTCCTGGTTAAATTAGAATCCAATATTTTAAGGGTAAATATTTAAGAGGCATCTCTTGTAAATGGTAATATTTATATAGTAGCAAAGCACTTCCTGAGAAATAAATAAACGGGAGGAGAAGGTTTTGTCAGCCAATAAAAAGCAAAGTATATTGATGTCCCCAACACTTTCATTGCTCGTGAGTCACCTATAAAGGAATAGCACAGGCATTAAGGATGTGTTTCTCTCTTTATACTGGCTGTGGGGACCTTCCTTCCAGAGATGGGTAGTTAAATGACTTGAAACAACGTTTCTCATGATGAGAATGTCTTACAACAATACATTTTTCAAAAGAAAATCGTTCCACGAGTCCCCAAAAGCTAGAACTACGTTCTTAGGAATTGTCCCGAACTAAATGTGCCCATTATATTTAGCAGCATATGTAAATGTACTAATTATAATTAGCAGTAAACAAGGGAACTTTTTCTAATTTATGGGGTTTTTAAAACCAGTATAATCCCCATGAAAAGAGAACTGCTCACTGGTTTATGTTTCATATTTTTAAATACTTGGTTACCTCCCAGGAAATCTTTAGTAAAAGGCAGCATACCCTAGTGGGCATCGCGGCCCATAATTACTCTATGCAGTGTTGGTGTAACCCTGTAGGGCCCATGATGTTAGAGAGAAAAGGTGCGGAGGGCAACATCTTTTATTAGATCAACTTCTGATGGTGACAGAGACAAGCTTTCGAGCTTATACAACCCTCTTCTTCAGGTCTGTGGGTAAGTTCCGAAGAAGAGGGTTCAATAAAAGAAAATTACCTCCCCCACCTTGTCTCTCTAATAATTAGTGTATCGTTTGACTCTGGCAGAAATGGAGGGGAGTTAGTAAAGTAATCACATTTAGTTAAAAATAAAAGTATTCGCTTTCCAATGCTGCCAAATCCGAATGAATGCATATTTTGCGATTTGATTCTAAGCTTCTGCAGTTACCATGGACAGTAAAGGCACCGGCTACACACGACAGTGAAATTATATAAACATGTCAAATTCGGAAACTGAGTTCTTTTGCAACTCCCTGAGAGGAAGCTCTTTCCTGGCTGCCTTAATAAACAACTGCTGTAGCTCGCAGTTTCGGTACACACAAATGCAATACACAGGCAAATATCATAGGAAGGAATCGTGTTTTATACACGCACGCACTCACACACACACACAAATGTGAGGCCAAAAAAATCTGCAGTGAGTGTGCACATGTTACACGCACACACACCGCAACATATAGTTCTATTTGTGGGAATATGAAGAAATAGTCTGACAAGCAGGTAACCTGGCCTACCTGCGAAATTTAGACACGTCTGCACATAATTTACATCGGTCCATTTGTTACCTGGGTGCAAATAGCACGTCCCTGTAAATGTAAGATCTAATTTCCTTCCGAGCAGGAAGCAGTTCAGTTGCAGGCAGGGTAAGTGCGGAGACCAGCTCCTTACCGCACGAAGAATTAGGCGCTAAGGGCGCCGCGTTTCCATTGTTTAATTACAGGGTCAAGAGGATTGTTGGGAGTTTGGGGGGGATGAAACATGTTTCCTCCCACTGAGGAGTGTTACGGCGGGGCGAAGTGAAGCAAGGCAATAGCTTAGGGAAGAAGAACTCAGGCGGAAATTGGGAAGCTGTGGAAGAGACACTCAAGGGCTGGGGGAGAGGTGTACTAAGACAACGCGGGGGTGCCCCAACCATTGAACCAAACTGTAAGCCCTGTAGATCATGGAAACCACTCCAGACTAGGGGGTGCGACAGCCTCCCCCGCACCCCTACTTCCTACACCTTAGTTCAAGGGACAATTCATTTCATACTAAGGGGCAGTAAAGCCAGGAGATATGTCCGTTTGGGAGCAACATTTCTCCCATGGAAGGAGCGACCCTGGGAGAGGAGAAACCCTAACAAAGGGATGGGGAAAAGCCGCCTTTTAAGAAAGACACCAACACACGTGAGATCGCATTCTTTAGCAGAGTGCAAGCCAGCCATGCAAATCCGGTACACAGTACCACCAGCTTGAACGTCCCCCCTAGGAGGCAAAGATGTTTCGGGTTCCCAAAGCCCGTTAACCAGCACATGTCTCTGGAATAAATACGTGGTGACCGGTGTAGAAATGGAGACGTTTCAAGACAAGCGATCGCAAGCAGCTGTGTACGTGACCTGGCCCTACCATTCCAAACGGGGCAACATCTGGATTGGAAGCGGGGACACGACGAGGGAATATACACAACGGCTGTGTACACACACACTAGGGCTCCCACACCCACTAAAAGTGCTCCTTCGAAATCCACCCAGCTCCTGGATACGATTTCAGAACAGTTCCCAGCCGTGGTAAGGAATGGAAAGCGGTTTGCGCTTACCTGCCAGCCGCAAGCTAGGTCCCCCTCACTCCCTGGAAGAGAGGAGAAATCTCCTTTCAAACAACCCTAAAACTTCCCCGAAGTCCACCCAGGCTCTTATTGTTATTATTATTTTAGAGCTAATCAAGGAAATAAAGTTAAAGAGGAGGAGAGTTCCTCTTGTTTGGGTCTGGTTTGGGGGAGGGGAGTGAAAGAGACCAGTTGCTGCCCACTGCTTTGACCAGTGAGGGGCTTCAACCCTTATTACCATTTTGTTTTTGTCCAGATTGGAAAGTAGGGCCCCCTGCATTCACATCATCGCCTTCCACCGTGAGTGTAAAGGACAGGCCTTCGCGGGCCCCTTTGGATTGTCCGGCGTTAACAATCCCTCCCTTTGTGGAGGTGTTTCTTTTTCTATTCACACAGATTGCTGATGGCACTTCAGGCCCAGCTCTTAAAGAAACTGTTTGCAAAATTATACCTTTCCGCGGGCTACTCCACAAGGAAGCGGGCAGCTGTAGTTAGGAAAACATTATTGAGGCTTGTAATTTAATTAAAAATGCTGAGGCGTCCGAAGGGGGAGGGAGGAAAAGAAAGGAGGAAGTGAGAAAGTGAAAAAGAGTACATGAAGGGGGAATTCGGGACTCCATTCGTGGTATTTTAAAAATCAGAAACACAGGGTTCAATGGCTTTCGCCAGCATTGATGAGCAAAATGCTCAATCTCTACCGGTCCTAGCTATAACTAAAATACTGAGTTTGTGTGTTTTATAGATGTATATAGCTAAGTGCGGAAACATTATAGGGTTTATTATATATATATTCAAGCACATCTATGGTAAGCATCTTGTTTTGTACACTATAACCACGCACATTATACAGATCCGTACGTGTATGAAAAGTGCCTATGAAGTTATACATACGTTTGTCTATAGAAAAACAGGACTGTATAGCACTTTAAAGACTAACAAGATGGTTTAATAGGTGATGAGCTTTCGTGGGCCAGACCCACTTCCTCAGATTAAATAGTGGAAGAAAATTGTCACAACCATATATACCAAAGGATACAACATGTGTCTGTGTGAACATGCAGTTTACACACCTTATATGTAGTTGTGTGAAACACATGCTGGATACATATATACATGTATAAAATGTGGGTGGATCTCTATATTACACACATATATGTATGTGTGCGCACAAAGATTTTGAGGGAGAGAGTGACCTAAAAACGCATTTAACACCCCTTTTTCCCAAGGGAATGCAAAAGAAAATAATAAAATAATAATAATAATAATAATAA